AGATTCATAGCCAGCTGAAAGTTCATTAATAAGGATTAATTCTTAAAATTATGGAATTATGTAATACTGTGCAGCGATAAATGAAGTCCTTCATGTACTAATGGATGTACAGAATTCCCCTGGAAGTACTCAAGAACCTAGGCACACTGGTTGCCTTCTAAGTAGGAAAAGCTTGTGAGGGTGGGGGTTGGGGGGCAGCTGAGAAAGAGAATTCACTGTATACTCTTTTGAACCTGTTAAATACTTAGAGAATGATCTCTTAAACAATAAAATTGAAAATACTCAAAGTGAAAGCTTTCAAATTTCTCTCTGAGAAATGTATTTCATTCCTTCAAATCATTCAAAAATCTTAGAAGGAGCAAAATGGAGTGGAATAACCTCTTTGGGGCCAGACTTTGAGTCCATTCCATTATTATTCTTTGGAATAGCCAGGCCCAAAGACCAAAATACTAAAAGGATCTTTGTTAATGGAGTTTCAAAAGAAAGCAAGCAAATATTCCCATATCGTGAAAAACCAGAAAACACTTCAGAGACAAAAGAAAGAATAACAATTTACCTTGGATTAAACTCAGTTGTCCAACATCAGCTCTTCCCTTAGTCTCTGGTCACCTGTATAAGCCAAGTCCATTAACTGGTAAGGGATAAAGAAGCATAAGGAAAAGGGATAAAACCTTTCCTTGAGCCCAGACTGACTTTGCCCTCCTTTTCAGAAAAAAGGAGTATTCTTGTGCAACCCCTGGGTACTAAGGAACCAGAACTTCTTGCACAACCCACCGAAATTCCAAGCACCAAGGAACTAGAATTTCTTGCACGGCCTCCAAGGACCCAAGATTAACCCTATAGCTGGCATCAAGTCCGCATGTGATCAAGAAACATCACAAACCAGTGTACCTGGGTGGCTCAGTCGGTTAAGCAGCTGCCTTCGGGTCAGGTCAGGATCCCAGATTCCTGGGATCGAGCCCCCATCAGGCTGCTTGCTCAGCGGGGGGCCTGCTTCTTCTCTGCCTGCCATTCCCCCTGCTTGAGCTTGCTCTCTTCTCTCACTCGGTCGGTGTGTCAAATAAATAAATAAAATCTTTAAAAGAAAAGAAATGTCACGGACCACTGCACTCCCTTCAGTGATTAAACCCCTTTAAAAATCTCTGGACCCAAAATAAATAGCAAAACAAACAAAATCTCTGGGCCAGGAAGAAACCTGAGCTGGGCTTTGGACAAGAGTCGGCCTTCTTCCCGAGTGGTCGGCCTTCCTCAAAAGGAATTTGACTTCTTTCCAGTCAAAACTCCAGCCACCAATAGTACAATCTGGGTTTCTGCAACGCAGCCGGCCACAGAGACCCCACAACTACAAGCTTCCAGAAACCTTCAAACCCACAACTGGCCTCAGGGTGACCATTTCTCTATCATTGCTCCCCCCACCCCATTCGGCTCCCGGATAGACACAGTTGGGAGGCGCCAGACTCCTAAAAAGTCAACGACATAATTAAAGCAGGAGTCAGTCTCACAGCTTTCACAAGCACTCACACAGCTGGAGACATTATTACCACGCCTTCGTGAGGTCACACATAATCATGCAGTCCCACAGGCACATTACGTCACACACTCACACAATAACGTGTGAAGGCCGGAGGATCCGCACGCGACCACTCTCGGTCCCCGCCCGGGCTAAGACGCGCCTCACCTTCAGCTTCCCTGGCGTCAGGCTTCCGGGCCGCCTCACCGGAGCGAACCCACGGGCCGCGCTTCCTCCGCCGGGGCGCTGTGCAGTTCGCTCCAGCATAACTGCGCCGACCACCTTAGAAGGAAGTGACGTTACCCCTGGAGGCCTCTGGAAAGTGTAGTCCAGAACACGAAAGACCCCAGAGAGCGTTCGACCCGAGTAATCGTCACCGGGCGCCAGCCTGCAACCGGGTGCTCCTCCACCCTTAAGACAAATCGCTGCGACCCCGCAGTCGCCGCTGCGCACCCGTCACCCCAACTCGCCTTCAGCGGGACGTTTATTTCCGCCCCGGGGACTTCTGGGACTTGTAGTGTCACCTAGGAGCCCCGGAGGGCGGAGCGGGGCGATGGAGAATCCTCAGCCCTAGCCTGGAGCTGGCTGCCGGAGATGCCGCGGCATAGCCGGGAAGATCTGCGGGGCTGGAGATCCGAATCTGACGAGCGGAGGAATGCCTGGGCTCTAACTGCGGCCAGGCTTAGTGGGGCAGGAGAGAGAGGTAGAGGGAGGTTTTAGTGCTGGTGAGAGTGTTTGCTTCGATTTATGATCTTGGGTGTGGTTGTGTTGCTGTGCCTGTTTTACGATTTAAAAAAAAAAAAAAAAAAAGCTGAGTGTTTAAAAGTACAGTTTTTTAATGTCACATACAAAAAAGTGCCCAAATCATTAGAATAAAGCCGGATGCATTTTCATAGATTGTCCAGAGTTGTGTACTCGTGTAGCATCCCCGAAGTCCCCACCTGTCACCTGTAAAGGTCTCCATCTGATTTACAATATAGTTTTGCCTGATTTTGAGCTTTACATAAATGCTATCATATTGTATGTACACTTTTACCCCTTGAGTCTGACTTCTTTTGCCAAATATTGTTTGTGAGATTAATCGGTAAAGTTTATTTATTCTCATTCTTGACAGTCTTGGCTTGTTTTCAGCTTGGGGCTACTAGGAATAGTGCTCCATGAACATTCTTGTTTGTAGTCTTTTGCTGTGTATATGTGTCATCTTGGTTACATATATATCTAGGAGGGGCATTGCTGGGTCATCGGTTACACATATATTTAGCTATAGTAGATACTGCCAGACGTTTTCTGAAGTGGTTCCCCTACTGTAATTCCACCAGCTCTGTATTATAGTTCGAGTTGTTCCGCATCCTAGCAACTTAATATTGTATGCCTTTTGTTTTTTAAACTTTTTGGTGGGTGGGTGGTTGTTTTGAATACCCCTGATGTATACATTTGTATATCTTCTGTAACAGGCAAAGATACTCAACCAGCTTTAGCATTTACTGTGGATAAACAAGAGAAGGTCCGAGAGGATTTAGGTACCCTTGCAGAGGTGTGTGTTGTATGTATTGGTGTCGATCCAACATCTTCAGTACTGCCTCTCTTTCCAAACCTTGCCCCTTTAAGAAGAAATAGGAGGGGTGCCTGGGTGGCTCATTTGGTTAAGCCCCAGCTCTTGATATCAGCTCAGGTCATGATCTCAGGGTTGAGAGCTGGAGTTCCGCTTGACTCTGTGCTGAGTGTGGAGCCTGCTTAAGATTCTCTCTCTCTCCTTCTCCCTCTGCCCCTGGCCCTGTGTGCTTGCACACATGCATGGGCATACACACTTTCTCTCTTAAAAAAAAAAGAAGAGAAGAGAAAAGAAAAGAAGAAAGGAAAGGGAAGGAAAGAAAAGAAAAAGAATAGGAAAGGGGTAAAGGCAAATTTTTAGCCTCCATCCTGAAGAGGGACCCAAGGCCACATGCATTAGTCCAGGTATGTTGGGGACTTGACAGTGACCAAGTTTGCCAAACATCTTAAGCCCTTACAGACCTTGGAATGTAAGTTACTGTAATAACAGGAAATGCCCTTGGTCATGGTCAGAAAAATTACTTGAGCTTGTTTAGAAATCATTTTTCCAGTTGGACAGTATAACTTTATAGGTGGGTTCCTCTGGCCCAGTATCAACTCGGGTAGTTGTAACTGATATTGCTAAATGTACTTTTGGAAATAGATGTGTTAATTACAGGTAACAATTCTCTTGATCATAGGGATGTTCCCAATAGGGAAATGCCACAATTAGAATAATGGTAGTAGCACAGACACACGACCCAGACCCTATAAGACCTCTCCAGTATATTCACATAGTTATTGTGAAGCAGTACAGGAGACCAGGGAAGGGTATCAGGGAAGTAGAAGAGGTCAGAGGTCACTATAATGATCAAATAGTTAATGGAGCCAGAAGTGTTTAAAGAAACTGTATCACATAATAGCCCTCAGTGACCAGGGGAAAAAGCCAATGTTATTTGGAACCTCACCATGGACTACCACTCTCTATGTGGGAATGATATACTGGCACATGCAATTCTAGATTTAACAATTACAGAATCCATAATGCAAACCAAAGGTATCTGTTTTGCAATTGTAGACATTGCTAATGCCTTCTCAGCATCCCATTGCCTCCTGAAGATTAGAGCCAATTTGCTTTCCCAGGTTCCACTTACCTTTATTTTATCATGTTGTCACAGGCTATCCTAAATTCTCCATAATTTATCACTAGTGGATAGGCTTAGGCCTCAAAAAAGGCTGAAATATCACCAGAGGTGTCCTGGTCAATTACACTGATGGCATTATTCTGACTGAAAGGGCTAAAGACAGCATATAGACTGCCTTTCATGAGATGAGTCCATATCTGAACCAGAGCTGGAAGATTAGCATCCCAACAAGATACTGGGGCTAACCACACAAGTAAGCCTCTTGGGAACCATGTGGGCTGATGCTCAAAGAAAAAGCCCTGACCTTGTTAAAGAAAAACTGTTGGTCTTAAAACCTCTAGCAAACAAAATAAGGCACAACATCTGATAGGCTTGTTCGGGTATTGGAGGCAGTCCATACCTCACACAAGGTTGAGAATCTTGCTGAACCCATCGTATCAGATTGCTCAAAAGAGTCTCCGTCACACTGTAGATACAACCATATCAGAGGCGGTGTCTGAACCAGCACTTTGGGCTTCTTGGGAGCTTTGGAACACTAACATTCCTGAGTATTCCTGGGCCTGGTTCATGCACATATCAGCTAAGGTAAAAGCAGATGGGATGTAGTGGACCACTGCCACAGTGCAGATTCAAAGAAAACTGCTTAAAACTGTGTATGGCAAAGAGAATTCTGCTTAATGGGGGGAGCTGTAGACTGTTGTGCTTCCCTTGGAAAATAGTCCCCCAAATGCACCTTGTTACATTTTCACTGATTCCTGGGCAGTAGCCAATGGACTGTCAATGTGGTATGGTGCCTGGCAGTGGGACAATTGGATGATCAAATTTTAGCCTCTTTGGGAATGAAGAGTTATGGCAGCAGATTCCACAAGACCCACATCCTGCTTGTGACCATGTGGATGTAAAGGACCTTATAAAGATGAACATTAAGGGAATCCACAAGATGATCAGATAAGGACGCAGGTAAGGACCATATCCACCTAAATACACCATTACACAGGGCATGAGAATTTATAATTCAAGACTGAGCCCAAAAATGAGACACAGTGATTCCAGCTCATATGGCCAAGAAAGCCCAGCAAATATGACCAGGCTGTCAGCTATGCAGTTGAGTAGCAGAGAGAACTCTGGGACACATAACAAGGGGTACCAAAACAGGCTGGTCCTGGAAAATAGACGATATGGGCTCTCTACCCTCCACTCAAGGGTACTGCTGAGTATTGATGATAATAGACACGTTTTCAGCGTCCAATACTTCCATCCCTGTCCACAGAGCAGATGGGTGGCCATACTATTCAAGGGCTCTAGATGGACAGTGTTACGTAGTTATCCACTTGTATTCCCTAAACATATCCAGTCGGACAATAGTGCCACCTTACAACAACAACAACAACAAAAAAGCAGCAGTAGGCAGCAACCTGGGATATTCATTGGAACTTTCATGGCCGTGTCATAGCTAAGCAGCAAGTGACATTGAAAGATTGAGTGGGCTTTTAAAAATATTTTATTTATTTATTTGAGAGAGAGAGGGAGAGAGAGAAGGAGCATGAGAGGGGAGAAGGTCAGAGGGAGAAGCAGACTCCCCCATGAAGCTGGGAGCCCGATGCGGGCCTCGATCCTGGGACTCTGGGATCATGACCCGAGCCGAAGGCAGTCGCTTAACCAACTGAGCCACCCAGGTACCCTGAATGGACTCTTAAAAGAGAAATTGGAAAAGATAATTGGACAATCAAGCCCCACTCTCCATGGAGCACGCACTTAAGATAATCAATTTGGGCTCTAAATGTAGCAATTCCCCCAAAATGGTACCTTTCATTTAAATACGATGTGTACAGACTATACACCTGAAACTAATGATGTACTCTATGTTGGCTAATTGAATTTAAAATGAATGAATGAATGAATGAATGAATGAAATGTTTAATTATGAGCAAGAGGAGGGAAAAGGTGGAGCTGGCTGTTAGAAACCCAATCCACAAAATTAACTTCTCACTCTACATTTTTCCTCCCACACTTACCTCTGGAGAACAGGGGATTGGAAAACTTTAACCTAGTACTTCTTTTGTCTCCTGGCTGTCCTTGCCAGATTTGGCAATTATGGATATTGATGACAATGATCATAAATATGAGGTGATGACTCCTAGGGTAATGTTGGCGTGGCATACACATCAGAGAGTGGAAGTGGTTCTAGGATGTTCCAAGGTATAGAAAGAAATTGCAGAGGAACCTAGGGACCCGTTATGCCATATGGGGTAAGACATGGGGAAGGTTGGGAAAAGAATGAAGTGATTGTTGCATGGACTGCTGGCAGGAGGGCACTCATAGTTGTAGAAGAAAAGGAACAACTCTTATTGGGTAGAAAGCACTTTAGATCCTTTAAGGTCTGAGTAGAAGTAAGGACTAGCAATCTGTCTCCACTCTTATCCTTGCCTCGCATGTGGCCGGTTAATCCCAAACCACCACCATCATCTCAACTTAACTGTTGACCAACAAGTGATAAACCTTCCAACAACTACTGACTTCAGAAAGTAAGAGCCTCTGCCTGAGATGACAGAACAAGGCTATCATTCTAGATATTGATATGATTTTCTCTAATCTATTCTGACTGCTTTCTTGTTTTTCAGACTATTGATGATTCTAAACTAAGATGAGTGGTAATGACGATTGTATTTCCCTGGACTTCCTGCTGGCCAGTATAGGCGATACATGGGCAATTTCTAATATTTCATGCTACAATTGATCAATTAATAAGTAGCAACCCATTTTTGCCTTAGAAAGTAATGTGGCTCTCCCAGATTGATCTTGATAGCAGCTGGGACATATTTAGCTGACTTGGCTCCAGATTGGAAGTTGTAGTTGTGGTCACTATGTTGCTTAGGACAACAGAACATATTTGGTCCAAGCCCTTACCTGTAAAATTAATTAGAGTAGCCCACAGGGTAGCCCACAATCCTGAGAATGCTTAGCTGGATACTGAAAGGTCAGAGGGTCGAGTTGTAGGGAACAGCCCCACCATGGCAACTTGGCCACCTTGCATGTACTCATGCAGGCAAAGGCTTGAAATATAGCTTATTTGAGTCTCGGCAGAATGTCTTATGATTCTCCCCAAACATGAGAGAATGGGAGACCATTAAGGAGAGAGATAAGACTGTCTCCCATTTGCCTCTATATGTCAGACCTTGGGAGACTGTTTTGCGAGTTTCTCATCACCATCCAGGTTCTGGTGAAGTATGGGGCTTTCTACCCAATGTCCACCTCTCAGGATAGAGCTGAAACAAAACAAAACAAAAGTTATTATAAAAAAACATTGAAAAAAATATTGAACTACTTAGCTGTAGTCTAGGACTGACTCCTCAGCAATCCGGGATACCCCATTGCAGTCACCTGGCCCCTTTAGCTTAATCAAGGTGTTAGCTGGTCTGAGTTCTCATTTAGTGGATCTGGAAAAAATCTACTTCCAACATCATTCTTGAGGGCAGATTTCAGTTCCTTGTGTTGCGAGACTAAAGTCCCTATTTCCTAACTGGCTGTCAGCTGGAGACCACTCTCAGATATTTTCCAAATGGCCCCCACAGACAGAATAGTACTCATCCAGGAAAAAGAATGAAACCTTGCCATTTCCAATGAAGTTGTTGGAGCTAGAGAGTAGTGTGCTAAGTGAAATGTCAGAGAAAAACAAATGCCATATGATTTCATTCATATGTGGAATTTAAGAAACAAAACAAACAACCATAGGGAAAAAAGGAGCGGGAAAAAACAAGAAAGAGACTCTCAACTATAGTGAATAAACTGATGGTTACCAGAGGAGAGGTAGGGGGGATGGGCTAAATGGGTGATGGGGATTAAAGAGGGCACTGGTGATGAGCACTGGGTATTGTATGTAAGTAGTGAACAACTAAATTGTACACCTGAAGCTAATATTACATTGTATGTTAAATAGCTGGAATTTAAATAAATACTTTAAAAAAAGATGAGGTGGTATCTTTAGCTATGGGTAATTTGTTTTTATTGGACTGATGAGTGTTTATATTTCTCTTGACTGAGTTCTGGAGATTTGTTTTTTAAGAATATTATACATTTTACTTCTTTGAGATTATTAGCAAAATAGTAACTTATCTGACTGATAAGAAAACACATTGGGTAGCCAAAATATCTGAATACTGATTTGATTCTCATCTAAGTTACCCTTTTATTAAGGATGAAATCAACACAACTACCAACAATGGCAAATTTAGAGGAGAAACTAGGGAAAGGGAAATAGTCAAAGGGGAGTTTAGTTTATCTGTAATGTTTAAAATTTTGTAAGTGTAAGACATCCATAGATTATTTCAGAAATAAAAAATTTAAAAAGGAGACAAATATACAAAATGCAAACAGGATGTTGAAAGGAGCATTGTTTATAAGACAAAATTTAGAAGGAAAACATTTTATCAATAGATTAGTAAAATAATAGTAGAGACACACAGAAAAACACTAACTATTTTGAAATAAGGATAATGATATAGTGTTTAATGACTTGGAAAACTGTTCATGATATATCCTTTTTTAAAAGATTTTATTTATTTATTTGACAGAGAGAGAAAGAGAGAGCAGGCAGAGAGGGGGAAGCAGGCTCCCCACTGAGCAGAGAGCCTGATACGGGGCTGGATCCCAGGACCCTGAGATCATGACCTGAGCTGAAGGCAGAGGCTTAACCCACTGAGCCACCCAGGCACCCCTCAGGATATATTCTACCATAGCAAAGGTAATTTATGAAATGGAGTTTTTAAAAAAAATTTCTGAAAGGATTTTCTTGACAATTTTGAGAGTCGGTATTTTAACAGTTGACAGGAATAAAGGTTCTTTTTGTTTTCTGAAATCCTCTGAAAAATTACAATAAATACTAATATTAAAAGGAACACTCTTCAAAAAGGTGGTACAGTTCTATTTGTATTAAAATACAAAAAAAGTAAAAATAACAAAGAAGGTACAGGTATACTTATATAAATATGTATATACATATATAAACATTTACATATAAATGATTTAAATTGTTGACCTAAAAATTAACCTTATTAAAAAAACTTATATAAATTAGAATATATCACCAAAATGGCAGGAAAAGCAACAGGAAAGAATAAGTAGTGGTAGGTTCAAAATCTTGGAGAAAAAGAAGTCAATCCAGAACTGTAAGCACAATTAACAATTTTAATGGCCAGTAAGGCAAAAATACCTGGAGTTAAATTAGGAAAAGCAAAGTGAAATTCTAGGATTATTCCTTGATAAATTCTCTGATATTTCAGGTTGACATGAACCAAGTTTTCATTTTAATTTCAAGTTTAAAAGTTATAAGTTCCTGGTATTAAGGAGTGAACTATTGATGGTCTTCTGATATTTACTATATTCTTAGGCAATTTAGTCTGTAAAAAGCAAATAAAAGGCTCTTCATATTAATTATAGGATCTAACCAGCATGAAGTCCTATCTCAAAATAGGTGAAATCCATAATTAAATACCTTTCCCACAGATTATTTTCAGAGTTTCTTACCATCATGACCTTTCTGATGTTAAGATTTGAACTACAAACAAAAACCTTCCCACATTCTTTGCATTCATAAAGTTTCTCACCATTATAAATTCTCTGATGTTGAGAAAGTTGATGAAATGCCTTTCTACCCTCCTTACATCCAAAGGGTTTCTCACCAGTAATCCTCTGATGCCAGATAATGGCAGAGCTACTACTAAAGGCCTTCCCACATTCCTTATACTCATAGGGTTTCTCACCCATATGAATTCCCCACTGTTGACTAAGGCCTGAAGGGTGATAAAAGATCTTCCCACATTCTTTACACACATACAGTTTCTCACCAGTGTGAATTCTCTGATGTTCTGTAAGTACAGGACTATTAAAACAAAAGGCCTTTCCACATGCCATTCAAACAGTTTCTCACCTGTTTGAATCTCTGATGTTCTATAAGTTTTGAATTGCTACAAAAGGCCCTTCCATAATCTTTATATGTATAGGGTTTTTCACGTATGAACTCTCCGATGCCGGTTAAGGGCTGAGCTACTTCCAAATGCCTTAGCACAATTTTTACAGTCTTAGGGTTTCTCACCAGTATGAATTCTATGATTTATAAAAAAAATATGATGCACTCTTAAAGTTCTTGCCACATTCCTTACATTCATAGGGTTTTTTCACCAGTATGGATTCTCTGATGCTTTTGAAGATCTGAGGAATAATGAAAGGCTTTGTCACAGTCTTTACACATATAAGGTTTTTCACCAGTGTGAATTCTCTGATGTTCTGTAAGTATCGAACTGCTATGAAAGGTTTTTCTACACTCCCTACATATATATGGTTTCTCACCAGTGTGAATTCTCTGATGCAGAGTAATGGCTGATTTACTACTAAAGGCTTTTCCACATAACATACATTGATAAGGTTTCTCAGTGGCATGAAGTCTCTAATGATAAGTAAGATCTGAGGAATGATAAAAAACCATCCCAGGCGCCTGGGTGGCTCAGTGGGTTAAGCCACTGCCTTCGGCTCAGGTCATGATCGCAGGGTCCTGGGATCGAGTCCCGCATGGGGCTCTCTGCTCAGCAGGGAGCCTGCTTCCCTCTCTCTCTCTCTCTGCCTGCCTCTGTCTACTGTGATCTCTCTCTGTCAAATAAATAAATAAAATCTTTAAAAAAAAAAAAACCATCCCACCTTCCTTAACTAGGCAGGGGTCCTCATATGTGTAAATTCCCTGATGTAATAGAAACACTAATCTTCATTACTAGCTAGATGACAAAATGTTACACCCACTGTGGAGGTGGATTCAGCATTACCTAGCCAAATTACATATTTACCTAACCTTTTATAAACTAACAATCTGAGTGACATGACTCTTCTCTCAAGATATATTGACATTTAAAAAAAGATATACCGGCATAAATTTTACAAGATTTACTCACAATGTCCTTCAGTAAAGCACAATTTATAATAACAATGACTGGAACCAACCCAAATGTCTATCCTAAGGTAACTGGTTGAAAAACTATGGTGCATCTACTAAGTGGAATATATTGTCCAACTATAAAAAGCAATGATGGGGGCGCCTGGGTGGCTCAGTGGTTAGGTGTCTGCCTTCAGCTCAGGTTATAATCCCAGGGTCCTGTGATGGAGCCCCACATCTGGCTCCCTGCTCAGCAAGAAGCCTGCTTCTCCCTCTCCCACTCCTCCTGCTTCTGTTTCTTCTCTCACTGTGTCTCTCTCTGTCAAATAAATAATAAAATCTTTTTTAAAAAAAGCAATGATGAAAATCTTTTTTTAAAAGATTTTATTCATTTATTTGAGAGAGTATGTGAACTAGAGAGAACAGCAGACTTCCCACTGAGCAGGGACCCCTATATGGGGCTTGATCCCAGGACCCTGAGACCATGACCTGAGCCAAAGGCAGCTGTTTAACTGACGGAGCCACCCAGGCGCCCCTGAGTGATGAAAATCTTCATACCTCCTTTGAAGTTATCTCCTGATATACTGTTAAGCAAGAAAATGAAGGTAGATTAAATTGTATATAGCATGCTGCTATGAATATAAGAAAGGGAGGTTTAAAAAAAAAGAAAAAGAAAGGAAGGTTTAGAAGTTATACACAATTGCTTTTATAAAAAAAAAGGAAGGGTAAACTCATTGGGGAGAGAGATAGAGAACAATGTAGAACAGACTGGGACAAAAGCTAGACTTCCTTGAATATACTCTATTTTATAGATTTCCCATTGGAATCTTGAAAATACTCCATATAATTATAAAACAAAACAATTATAAAATAAAATTGCTACCAAAAGCAAATTAAACATTTTAGTTTTATAAGCAATTTTGGCACAATCAGAGTACAGCTATTGGTGATCATTTCAAAACTCAGAAATCTACCTGTATAGCACCAGTGGATCATAATAAAGAAGCAAGGATGTGAGAACTTGCATGACTAGACACCAAGATGTGTACCATAGTTTATTTTATTTCAAACCCCACAGTGAAGAAAAAGACAGCAACTACAACTGGGCACAGAAGGGGCCTTGAAGGTACTCGCAATGTTCTATTTCTTTAATGGAGCAGTAAGGTAGGTCTTCACTGTATTATTAGTCAAACTGTGAATTTTGGTTTCAAAATTTTTATACATATGAAAATGTTATGCATTGAATTGTGTCCACAAAATTCATATGTTGATGTCCTTACCATCACCACCACCCCATTACTTCAGAAGATGACCTTATATGGTAATTAGTTAACTTGAAATTGTACTGGAGTGGGATGAGACCCTAATCTAATATGAGTGGTGTTCTTGTAAAGCGAATCTGGAAACACACACACCATACCCAGAGAACATGTGAAGATGAAGGCAAAGATCAGCATGATGGAAGAAAAGACAAAGAATGCCAAAGACTGCCAACAAGTCAAGGAAACTAGGAGAGAAGCATAGAAAAGCTTTTCTTTCACAACCTTGGCAAACAAATACAAAATACTTCCCCAAAACATTTGAAAAGGTTTTTTAAGAGGAAAAAGATCTTTGAACATCTTTTTGCACCAAAAAGTAAGTGAGCACTTAAAAAATTATGTCAGCATGTCAGAAGGACCTAGAGTTAGCTGGAAGGGGCTCCGACTTGCCAAACCTGGGATGGTTTAAGCACTAAAATAATTAATTAATTATAAACCCTTGCAAAGAATACAAATCCATGAGGCTATATCAATGAGAAATAGAAGCCAAAATAAATTAGATAGACAGACAGATAGACAAATAGTGAAGACACTTTCAAAAAGTAGAATACAGACTGAGAAATGCAGAGGGAGTGTTAGAACTGAAAAAGAACTATTGTGCAACCCTCACAGCTAAGACTGGTGTGAGGAAGAATCATCAATGATGTTAAATTGAGTGGTGGGGGGCATTCGATAAGGAATACAATATTACTATGGTGCCTCCCCACAGATGACTGATTAGTTTCAGAAAAAATAAAAACTACAGAAAAAATAAAAACTACACAATAGAGAAAGTGGACAATATTTGGGCCAGGTAATCAAAATTGACATCATCAGTGAGGGGCAGAAGCAAATCATATACTTTTAGATATCGTGCCCTGAAGAGGACAAAATATCACATATTTGGTATCCTGGCAGGAGAAGCCTAACTTGAATTTAATCATGAGATAATACAGAAAAGTCAAATGAAGAACATTCTACCAAAAAAAAAAAAAAAAGAAAGAAAGTAGGGGCACCTGGATCGCTCAGTGGCTTGAGGCCTCTGCCTTCAGCTGGGGTCGTGATCTCAGGGTCTTGGGATCGAGCCCCGAGTTGGGCGCTCTGCTCAGCGAGCCTGCTTCCTCCACTCTCCCTCTCTGCCTGCCTCTCTGCCTACTTGTGATCTCTGTTTGTCAAATAAATAAATAAAATCTTTAAAAAAAATGAAAGTGAACTTTATTCTTCAAAAAATGTTAATATAATAGAAACAATGAAAGTCTAATAAATTTTGTAACTTAAGAGAAAACTGGAGACAGGCCAATAAAATGCAAAGCCAAAACAGACTGAATCTTGTGCTAAGTGGGGAGAAAAATGCCCTAAAGACATTATTAGAATAGTTGACACACCTGGAATATGAGTGGTCAATTAAATAAAAATATTTTACCAATGTTACATTTCTTAAATTTTACTAGTGATATTGTAATAATGTAAGAGAATATTCTTGTTCTTTGGAAGTACACAAAGAGCTATTAAGGACTAAAAGACCATGATGTTTGCAACCTCTAATTAAATAGTTCAGGAAAAAAATGATATATATGAGTGTATGTGGGTGTGGATATAGAAGGAGACAGGGATGCGGGAGGGAGAGAGAAAGAATAATAAAGTAAATGTGGTAAAATATTAAAAATTGGAAAACTGCTAAGGCTAGATGAAGGATATAAAGGAGTGCTCTGATTCTTGCAACTTTTCACTGAAATTATTTTCTATAAGTATATACATGTATATGTATATACATATGAAGAAAGACTTCTAAACTCATTTAATGAAGTTAATAAAGCCTTTAAACAAAATGAGCCAAAAACTGTATGAGGAAAGAAAAGTATAGGCCAATCTAAGTTACCAAATAGACATGCAAAATCTGAACAGAATGTTAGCAAACTCTATCCTGCAATGTCCTATAAAATGAACCAACATGGCCATGTTAGTTTTATTCTAGGAACACAAGGTTGCTATTATAAAATTTACTGTATCAACCACTTAATGAGAAAAAATTATTTCTAAAGACAGGGAAATAATTTGATAAAATCGAATATCTAATCATAAAAATCAACTTTCAATAAGCTACGAATAAAACAGATTGTTCTTACTTTAATGAAAACTACTTAGAGATACGTAAGACAAAAACACACGTGGTATGAAAAGTTAAAATTGTGCTCTAAAAAAAATCAGTAGAAAAGAGATGGATGCACCTACTATCCCCACTTTTCTTTAACACTTACTGGAAATTATGGGCAGCGGAGTAAGATTAAGACACGTCCACACGCACACAAAAAAAAGAAAGAAAGAAAATGACAGAGAAAAAGTAAGAAAGGTCTAACCATTGGAAAGCTGGAAAAAACTGACAATATTAGTTTTTGTTTGTTTGTTTGTTTAAGAGACGCAGAGAGTGGGGAGAGGGGCAGAGGGAGAAGGAGAGAGAGAATCCTCAAACAGACTCCATGCCCAGCACAGAGTCTGACATAGGGCTCAATCTCACGATCCTGATATCATGACCTGAGCCGCAATCAAGAGTCAGAATTTTAACTGACTGAACCATCCAGGTGCCCCTGACAATATTTTTATCTACATGGAAAGAGCAAATTGTGGAAGTATTCTAAAAATTAATAAGAAAAATCAACAGACATATAAATAATAAATAAAATTCGATTGCATTTATCTCTTGAAATTTTTCCTGCTTATTTTTGGAATGAATTATTAGGAGTGGGATAAGTAGGGGCATCTTATGAATTCCCTATCTTCTTTCTAGCCTTCATTCTATTTGAAAAACCAGAAACGGGGCACTTGGGTGGCTCAGTGGGTTAAAGCCTCTGCCTTCGGCTCAGGTCATGATCCCAGGGTCCTGGGATCGAGCCCTGCATCGGGCTCTCTGCTCAGTAGGGAGCCTGCTTCCTCCTCTCTCTCTGCCTGCCTCTCTGTGTACTTGTGATCTCTGTCTGTCAAATAAATTAAAAGTATTTTTAAAAATTTTTTAAAAAGAAAAAAAAGAAAAACCAGAAACATAAAACTGAAGAACTCACTGACTTTTACATTTGGATGGCTAACAGTCCACTCATAACATGTCCAAAACCAAACTCTTGAATTCAAACCGTATCTTCGTTTCAT